AAAAAACAACTGTGACATTCATAAGAAACATCTCACCACCACCACCACCACCTCAAGTTTTCTGGATGCTTGACGTGCAAACAAATATAACACTTATATGTTTGCTCACCATCCCTCCATCTAGAACTTTCCACAAGTTAAAAAGAAGAAAGAAAGAAAAAAAGTTAGGTAAAGGAAGTTAATTTTTAAAAAAAGCCTTCAAGTGAGCAACTTACATAGTTGTCTCTTGCAGACCAGCCTGGATAAAGCTGCATGTGTAGCTGCCTTTCTTTACGAGCTAGTTCATAATATTTCGCTTGTTCTTCACGAGAGAGAGCATGCCACTGCAAACAAAATAAACATAGCATTAGCCTAGGAAATAACCCATACCTAGGCAACAGATGACATGAGCAAGTGTTTTTGTGACTTTGATGCAGTCCTTCCCCACTGCAAAAATGAAATTCATTAGCAATTACAAGCACCCGTGTTTATTAACCAACTTTCAGGCATTTGTCAGCTCTGCAACTGCCAACTGCCTTGAGCAAGACAAAAATCATTTATGGAAACAGGGCTCACCAAATAATCTGCTCACAGGACCATACTCTCCCAAGACGACTTTAAAACAAAACCAACAAAAAAATCCAAGAAATCCCCACCCACCCTTTAGGTCCTGACAAAACAGAAAGGCTTTGTTCTGCTTTCAAAGGGCAGCAAGCTCCCCATCAGCGAAGGGTTTGCTGTCTTGGTTTTAAGCAGCAGCTATCCACAGGTTTTCAATGCCAACACAGAGGGCTTTCTGGGCACCATCCGGGTCCTCTTCCAAGATCAGGATCCAAATATTGTCAGTGGTTGGACTTGATCTCAGAGGTCTATTCCAACCTTATGATTCTATTGAGCTTCAAGGTACCCGCTTTCTGATTTCTTCTTGTTGTAACAGAAGAAAAGAAAATGACAACTGCAAAAAGATTCTAAGATACAGAAACCGCAGAACTGTAGACTTCCAAATTACATGAGTTGACCTCTGTGGCCAAGTAGGGATAAACTTCCTGCTTTTACATACTTTTTTAAAAAAAACAAGCCAAAAAACCCCCTCACAACCTGCACATTTGAAAAGTCACCAGCTACATCAGCATCTAATTCTTACTGAAGCACCTATCATAGACCTGAACCAAAAAGAGTAACGGCCTTTTAGTCAGAATCAGCTTCCACTGCTGCAGCATTAGATGTGTCTTCTTGTTTGACAACATGCATGGGGGGGTGGGGAGAAGATAGTGTGAAAAAACCCCACCCACCAGACATGGAATCATTAAGACATTCATGCAAGAATAAGTTATAGAACTAGGATTTCAAATCAGATCACATTTCTACGATTTAATACGTCATTTTGTTACATGTCAGAAGATGCGAACTAAATCACTTGTCTGTCTTGACTGGGCAAGTTTGATGTGTTACCGAGAGCACAGCAGTCCAGCCTATTTGCAGTTCTCAAACTCCACTCGCGCATTCCAAAACTAGAAAGGAGTGAACATCATGCTGTGGCATCAGAGCGCCCAGCAGCACGCAGAGCGTCAGCTCTTGAGAACTGTGGTGGTTCCTGTTCTGGAGAGGCACAGGGTATAGTAAATAGCAACCAGGATGATCAAACACAAAACATTTGAGAGTAATTAATCTCCAAGCAATTATAGTGGATAACTCATGTGTTGTTTGTACCACAGTAAAAGTGGAATTTGAGGTACTTTCATGGAGAACAGTAACCTGAAAGGAGGAGTCCAAGCTGTGGAAAAGGCAGGCAATGGAGCACTGAGGCTTGATTCATTACCAAAATGGAGGTAAGCAAGCCACTGCCCTCATTCAGGCCAAGAAAACAAGGCTGACACATTAAACGACTAAGATTGATTACTGAGTGAGTGAGAATGAAAATATGATCCTAGGGACTTGCATGAAAGAATGGAAAAGGCAGGCACCGAGATGTCCTTCAAGAGGAGGTAACAAGAGTATCAGAGAGAAGGCAGAAGGCTGCAGGAACCAGGACAAGTACCAATATGTTTCTGGTCTGTTTGGTCTGGTAGGGGCAAGTCTTCAGATTGTAAGAGAGAGGTAGCAGTTAAGGTCATGTACTGACTTCCCACTTAAAAGCACACGGTTTTCAGAGAGCTGCAGTGCCTCTCAACACCGCCTTAGTCAGCAGAGAAGAAGAAGGGTTCACTGAGCAAAGGGATTTGAATAATCCCTACTCAAACTCAGACTGATACAAAAGTTGTCTCTTTCCTCATTTCCAGGACAGCCAAGGGCAAAATGGGCATTTACCTTTGCTGCTTTCCCTTGGAAGAACACTGACAGTGAACATGAAGCTTGTAATTGTGGCTTGGCCTGCGTATTTTTTTTTGAAGCATGGAAAGAACAAAACATGCCTACAATGCCACAGAAACAAATGGCTCTCAGCAAGGCTCTGGGACATGTACCGGGATCACCAGTACTCGGCTGGTGACTTTAGAGACATTCAAAACCAGACTGGGCAAGTCTCTGAAGAACCTGATGTAACTAGACCTGCTCTGAGCAGGTGCTGGACTAAACGACTTCCACAGGTCCCTCCCAACCTACATGACTTTACAAATGAACCACACTATGTTCACTTTTGAGTTCCACCTCCACTGGTGTCCTGTGTTCACCTGTGAATGATCCCCTCTTGCTCTGATGTACACCAGTCTAAGGGAGGACCCAGAAGGTGACCTGAACGCTCCTTCCATGTGTGAATGAGGATATTTCATGCCTGAGGTGCTGACACCATAGCGTAAGTGGAACAGACACCAATTTGATGATGTTGCTAATGCTGAAAAAAGAAAAGCAAGATACTGCTTTTATTTTTAGTTCCGTGTTTTATCTTCTACAGCTAATTTGATAGTTGCACATTAGCTAGCACCTCAAGCAGAAAGTGAGCCATCACACCAACTAAAGGGAAGCACACACAAATTAGCAGCACACGTGAGTACACACACACCCTCCTGTACATACCCTTCTGCCAAGAATCTGGTTGATAGCTGCGCTTTCTTTCAGAGTACACTCTGCTACAACGTTCGCTCTCATTTCTTTCATGTACAACATGAAAGCATTCAGAGGTTTCTTAATATGAGGTCTTTTTGGCTCTTGTTCTTTTCTCTGTTCGTGCTGAGGCTTCCTAAAACGTGGTGGGGGAAAAGGGAAAGGAGGGGAAAAAAAGCATCCATTTACCTTCAGCCTAAAAAAACCCAATGGAAAATTACCAACCTGTAGTTACAGTAGCATTTAAGCAGCCAGAATGAGAATTTCAGTGGTCATGTCCCATCCACTCTCCTATCTTTTCAAAGAATTGACTTAGTTTAATACTCAGGGAGGACGTCAGGTTGACATTGTCTAGCAAATAACTTTTGATCTGTGAATCCGCTTCAAATTCACCACTTGTCCCAATTCTCTTTTCGAAAGGCTATCCATAGTACCCTAAAAGACCACTGCTACAGACAGGAGGATAGCTCCTCATCCACTTCTTTCTTAGGCCTTTTGCCTTTCAGTACTAAGCAATAAGGCTACTTTTTACAATTAAATTTTGCAGTTAAGACCTTTTCCAGCAGAAGTTCATGAGTTCACATTCAAGCAACATTCACAGGTATACAGGTCCATGATCATGTCTCAATCAAGATGACTGTTGTTGATAGGTAAAAAGCGCTGTACTGGAATGAAAAATGGCTTTGAGTCTCATTACTCTTCTCAAACAGTAGCCCACATCTCCCATTTTAGTTATAGGAGAAGAGTTAAAATTCAAAGAGGTCACAAAAGGCACTTTTTTTTTTTTTTTAAAACATCCTTGACTCTTCTTCAGAGCTAGTTCTCAAACATTTATAGATTAAGGGCTAGTGCAGAAAGGCAGACTCACACATGCATTAGCTCACTGTCGTTGTGCGGATGTTCTTGTTTTACTTGAGGTGTTACAATAGCTGGGTGAGGGATTCCAGTTGTGTGAGGGCCTGGAGGACCAGGAATCATGTGATGTGAAAACCTAAAAGAGAAAACAAAGGAAGGGCTGTAACCCTACTGAAGACAGGCATCAAAAATGTAGGACAGCAGTGGGATACTCCAAGAATGCAAATGCTATGGAGCTTGTAATGGGAGACAATCCTTTAAGAGTGCATGAAAAATATTTGGCTAAGATTTGTGCATTGTAGCCCGTTTATTCAAGAAACACAAACAAAACAAAAGAAATCAGTCAACTTTTTGGTTGTAAAGAAGGTGGTTTATTACCTTTCAGGCAAAAAGTTTTAGCAATGCAAACAAGAAACATTTAATGGTTGTACTGTTGCACTGACTATCAGTAAAAACACACATTCCTTAACCAAAAACTGTAGTTCCACACCAAGATATAACCATTCTTAAAATATCCACCACCAGCCAACACAAAGGAGGGAACTGCCATGCAGAAACAAAAAAAAACAAAAGGAGTCTTTTCGAGAAGTCCTTAATGGCTCTCTAAGGAATCGCTTACTTTTCAAGGCACTTAAGCTGAAAGATTTTAACATCGCTTCACCTAAGCTCACCATCCTTCCCTCAAATGCTTAAAATAAAAATAAATTTTAAAAAATCCTGCATCCTGCAAGAAAGGGGGGTGGAGAGAGAGAGAGAGAGACTTCTGTCCTAAATAAAGCTTCCTTTCACTTGTACAAGAAGGAAAATAGAAAAAGAAAACGAAAGTACCACTAAACTGAATCATACCCTACTAACCCAGGTCATCCTCACGGATAGCTGAGACAGACCTTGAAGGTGCTGAGCACTGCAAGCTCAAGTGCAACAGAAAACCTGCATGCTTTATTTTGAACTGGTGGACAGCACCATTAACACCAAAAGCAAGCTCATGCTCCTACGGTTTGCTGAATGAATGCTTGTCAAGGAATGGCATCCAGCCTCTCCTTTCTCCATTCCCTAGTCCCCTTGCCCTCTTCCTTCATGCCATCAAAATAAAGCAAACAAAAAGCCCTGTAACCAAATCAAGTCATTTTATTATGGAGAAAGAATGGGTTTTCTTCCCAATCACCCTGACAGGCACGTGCTTATCATTCCCCTGTAAAGAAGTGAAGGGACAGCGATAATCCAAAGGAGCCCACACAAATAGAGGCAAGAGGACCCACCACTTATCAAGCGGCCTGTCTTAAATCCCCGTGCAAGAAGATGAGTCTTCTACAGGCCACACAAAAAAATGCCAGGAAGGGTATATTGCAACCTTGTGTACACCAAGCACAGGATGCAGAAGCTGTCTTTAGAGTGCAAAAGCAGAGGAGAGGAGGTCTGAAGTGTGTCATGGCCAAGTCTCAATTAGCATTGCTTGCTTGCACTTAGACATAAAGACACAGTGCCTGATTCACACACCAGTACAAATACACTGTGCTGGCATCCCCTGCCATTAGTGGCTTTGGGCTATGAAATACCTACTTGTGAGCAAGTTTCCATATGGAGTGATACCTAAATGATTCAAGACTAATTACCAACAACTTTGAAATTAGAACTAGAGAACACAGACTAGAGCGACAATCCACCTGGTTCTAGACTTGCATGAGCAAAACCCAAGGATGCACACTGTACGTTGCATCTAGAAATGAACTGACAACTCATTTCAGATGAAACAGCTCAATTAATTGTTGACAATTCACCGGTGCTCCTAATTGCAGTACTCAGAGACTGCCAAGAAAATGCTGAATGAGACCAGTGTGGGATCCAGGCAAACTGTATATACACAAATAAGTTAAATAAAAATATATGCATAAAGTTTTAGCTGACTGAAAAGCAAGCAAAGGCAGACCAAGATGCAAGCAGAAGAGCAACTTGCCCTCTAATGCCAGCAGTTACTCCCCAGTCAGTCATTCACCTCCTACACCTACCTGGACATGGAAGGGTCGACTGAGAGTGAGGATGGATAGGGCTGCCTGAATCCACTCGAGATGGGATATACAGGCTGACCTTGCCTGAGGTCACAGAAGAAAGGAACCCATCAATCATATGATATGGTATTCAATAGTTACTCTAGAGTTACAAGCACTTGATGGGAACTCAGTACTAGTCACAAATAAACAGTAATAGATAAAACTTTCAGGAGTTCTGCTGTATTCAAAGCTAACGAATACTTGAACTCTTTGGACTTTCTCTCTTGCTATTGAAAGATCCCCAATCTAGGTGTCCACTGGGGAGGAAAGCAAAACAACCAGCCTTCCTCCCCCAAAGCGCACGTGCACACATGCGCACACACACACACATGCATGCACACTCCTCTATCCCTCTCTCACCTAGTTTTAAAAGCACTGCAATCAGATTTGGTTAACCAGCTCTTAGCAAAGAGGCATCTTATTCCAAATAGTTCTACTGTAGATCAGCACAAGAAAGTTGAACAGTTTTATTAACTCTGAAAACTTAGGACTGTCTCCATTTGCATCTTCTACAGTGAGGTACAAGTGGCCAGCTCTTCTAACAAACTAGAAGTTTCTTTGAGAAAAAAACCCAAAACACAACTACCTAAAAGCCCACAGCAACACAAATCCATCTTAACTACTTAAAGTTCAAACTTCAATCCAATAAGAGAAGCTCGTAAGGAATTCTTACCTCCTTTATACTCCCACATATATGGAATATTTTGTCACCAGGCTGTGATCTGGACTTTCTAGTTTGTATCATCATCACTACATTCTGGTTACGTTCAGCTAGCAACGGTTCAGGTCGTGACTACGATTAACACCCTGAAGTAGCACATTATGGCAATGCAAACAACTACCAGCTCAGCCCAAATACCTGAACCAGCCCAGAAAGTCCATCGCACACATCAATCCTATTCAAACAGATACTTATTGACTGGCAGATTGGCTTTTGGGGGGGGGTGGGGAAGCTTTTGTAAGGTTCAGGATACAGGTCTCACACTTGGGAGTACGTTACTGGAAATGAGCTGTGCTCAAAGGGAAGGGGTGGGGGCGAAAGGTGGAGGAAGTCTGCAGCGCTACCACACAGAAGGCAGCTTGAAGCCATACAGCATAAGGGACGGCTGGGTACATCCCACTGTCGGTGAGTGTAGCTGAACACACCCCCAAGGCTTGTAAGATCGGATCTTGTCTCACCTTTTCTTTCTCTTTTCCCTCTTCCCTCCCCCCAGCATCGAGAAACCATTCAGAAGAAATGACTGAGCACATCTGGAAAACGCACACCAGGAACTGCCCAGTGGTGGTGGAGATGGAGGTGCAAGTCAGCCGAGCAGCAACAAACAGGGAGGGGCGGGGGGCGAGAAGAAAAATAGAGTCAGATACTTCCATATTTTAGTTTGGTGTCTGATAATCCTTTGTTCCAAAAAGGCATGTGGCACTTCCTGAAAGATCTGCCAGCAATACAGCATTTCACCATCTTCTGTTCTCTACTTTCTCTGCTTGTTGTCATCTGGACCGTGTTGCTCTCCAACAGACACATTAAAAATTAAAAAAATTTAAAAAAAAATCTGCATCGCTCGTTGCATGGGCAGACTAGTCAAGAAACAGATTCTAGAGCACCGAAATTGTTGCTGAATTTCCTTATTCCCTGCTCCAACAGAACTGAGGGCAAGTACCTATCTACTCCAAGCAGACATGAAGCATCCTGCCAAATCGATTACTCTGAAAATACCATGTGTTTCTTTCCAAAAGGAAAATGACACCCTGTGTGGCAGAGAGAGAGTCTGAGAGTGCTAGTATTAGCCAGAGCAGCAAAACTGTGTGATCTACTCTAGGTGGTCCTGCTTTGGCAGCAGGGGTGGACTAGATGATCTTTCGAGGTCCCTTCCAACCCCTAATGTTCTGTGATCCCGTGAAAACCTCCCAATGACAGAGGCTTCACTCCATACAGAAACTGTAAAAAGCAGCAGACTACAAAAGTATGTTCTTCATTTGGATGCAGTTTCAAGATTTCCCCCCTGACACACACACACTTCAAAGTTTCTTCTTACCTCTCCTCCCCTCAGTAATTGCAATTTTGTTTATTAAAAATTTACATTTAATTCCTCGAGAACTGTTTTCTGCTATCTTTCCAAATGCCAAGAGCCACAAATCTGAGCCATAAGAAATATATAGACTTCAAAGTGAACTCTACACACTTCAATTTCTGTACGTGTTCAAAAACCAGATTCAATTCATTTCAAAGATCGACATTTTTTGATCTTTTCAACTAAAATAACGTTGTAATTTCTTACTGCAGCGACATTCTTATTTTGTAAATGCTGCGACTGATCCAACAACAGCGAATGTTGTGAACATGCACCTTTGTCTGAAAAGAAGCTAAAAGATCTTACCAGCCAAGAGGTGGTGTTATCTGTCCAACCCCCCCTGGAGACAAGGGATAGAAGGTAGGGAGATCAGGAGCTGGAGGATGCCTGGACATGCCTGTTAAAGAGCACAGAAGAATGAATGACTTTCCCCTCAAAATACTACACGTGAGCTACAGTTCACAGCTAACACGGCCAACGCTACGATGGAATTAGTGCTCTGGATAAGAAATAACAGCCTTCTTGGTTAGTGTTAAAAGCAAAAGGCTACCCATGCCACTTTTAAAATAATAAATAACTTCCACATGACATTGCAATTCAAAGGGAAATACTGGAAAAACCAAAGTGGAGGGAGGAAATAAATGTATGGTAAGGACCTGCACAACTTTACATCTCCTGTAAAGCGTGTTAGGCAGTACTGTCCTCTCAATGGTTTCACCAAGCTCGATCGGATCCTGAGGACCTCTTCTAACACAGCATGAAACAAGAGGAAAATAAAGCGTTGTCAAAGAGGCAGCACAGCAGAGCTATTAGATTAGGTAAATTGCTACTTGTACATTTTTGCGGGTTCCCTTATGGATTCACAGATTTTGGAAACTTGCTACCACAGAGGATCAGTGGTTAATTAAGAATCATTTTCAGGCCTGTAATGGTCACACTTGATATGATTCATTTGGCTTCCAATTGTCACTCCAGCTCCAACTAAGCTCTTCATCAAGTTGACTCCTGTGGGCTCCAAGGTCAATCTGTTTTGCATTGGTAGTATTTCATGGAAAAATAAGAGTCCCATCAGGAATGATCCATCAGCTCACATTCCCCAGAACACAGAGTCCTACAACTGCAAGAATCACCTCAAGATTAAAGCTAATCCTCATCCCAAAAGGGTCTGTGGTCTCCATTCTTCACCTAAACCTTGTGCCCCCAGGAGACATGGAATTACAGTTGCAGAGGCCACAAAGACATTGGTTTATTTAAATGTGTTTGGGGAAGAGGGGGCCGAAGCAAAAGGAATTGTTAAGTCTACTTCACATGTTAAATCAGCTGCTTTAAAAGGGTATTAAATATTTATGTGGTGACACTCTAAAGGTCCAAGACTGAGTGTGTGCTACCTTGAGATTTGGTTTATAGATTGATGCTACTGATTTATTCCACACCCCACCCCCCAAACCCCCCAGTTTGTATCTAAATCTTCTGAATTTAATTACAAGATTTGAAGAATATCTTTCAGGACTGTGTACAGAAAAGGATGGAAAACAATAGTGGTGGTGTTACTGCCTCAAAAAAGCTAAATTCTCAGACTTGGGACCACAACATGAGCAAGGATCAAATTTCTGTCCAGTTGTCTTTTCAAAGGTTTAAAACAGCTGGTGGCTGACAGGAAAGGGAACGCTTTATATATCCCAGGATTTCTATGTGAGAGGGAATGCTCTTCCAGACCAGTTTAAAAAAAAAAAAAAACAAACCAAAGGTGAAAACCAGCGTCTCATCTCTAGCGATGGCTGATGCCCCTGGAGTGAGCACACAACCTTGACCCTGCCAAATCAAGTTCTGCGCAAGGAGCTGGGCCACTCCTTCCCCAAAATCTGCCTTTCTGACCCACAGAGATGACGCTGCTCTCTCTGCACTAACGTTAGCACAGTGATTATAGCTAATACTATAAACTGGCCCCTTACTGGGGGGCTGCCAGCTACCTAACGCCCAGCAGCAACACGCACCGCTACTGTATGGCCAGTGCTCTCCAAGGCAAGTCTTTGCTCATGAAAGGGTTAAGAATAGAAAAAATAAAATAAGTAAAATAAAATAAAATGAAACAAACAAGTGACCCCCTTTAGCAAGGCAGTGGCTGTGTGTCCATCCCAACGTGCCTGGGGTGCAAGAAGCAGTGCTGCGGGCAAGCTGCTGTGGACCCATCAGGGGATTTTGGTGGGAGGAGGGCACCCTGGCATCAGGGCTGGGGCACCAGGGAAGTGCCTCATTCCAGACCCATGGTGGGAGGCAAGGACAGAAACAATGGTCGGAGGCGTTTGGCAGAGAACCTGAGGGGGAAAAAAAAAACTCCTCTCTTTGCAGCAACTGCATGGGCCACTTCACTAGGGCTGCTCCCACACGCCAGCGGCGCTGAAACGAGGAATATGGAAAGACCACACACATCAAGGAGACTGTCACAGCCAAAACCAGAAGTATCCAGCCCATGTTATCCGTCCACATCTTTGCCAGATGCTGAGCAAAGGGATCAAGAGCCCTTCCAGGAACCCCGGAGGGGCACAAGCTCTGTGTCAGAGATAGCCCTGGCTGTCCCCCGGCAGAGCCCCTCACCAGGCTTGTGCTCAGGGACAGGAGTGGTGGGATGCACCGGGGCTGGACAGGGAACAGGGTGAGAACAGGCAGAAAAGAGGACAGGCAGCAGAAACAACAAACAGATGTTGTTCAGTTTGGGTCTGCAGGACAGGAGTACAAAAATAAACCAGGGGTAAAGGCAAAGAACTGGGGTGCAGGAGGGCAAACCCATTGTGCAGCAAGTGAAAACCTCTTGAGCTCACAAACTGCAGCAGCGGGGTGTGCCCCAGCCCTCACAGCCAGCTTGGGCAAGAGGTGGAAATTCTGTTCTCTAATGTGCGGCACCCCTGGGATTTCAAGGAACGAGCGTGAATAGCATTCTCCTGGGCGCTGATGCAAAGGAGGAAGACAAATGAGGACAGAAGGTCTCCATTTGCTTCTTCCAACTCTGAAAACGATATTATACATGTATTTAAAGGCCAGGCTTTCCAGGCAGAGTGCTTTTTCTCTCCCTAAAACAGAAACAACAACCAACTAACCAACAAACAGCAAAAAACACACAGAGTGAGACCATGGTATTTTTGGGATGTAGCCCATGTTATTATCTGCATAGCAAGGCCAAAATAAAAACTAGGCATTCAGGGAAAGTCAGAACTAAAAAAAGTCTCTCTCCCTGAATGATTGTGGCTAGATACCTCTCCAGGTAAATGGGACAACTGCGCACATGGATGTGTGCCCAGGTAAAGCAAAGCTTCATGATCTTGTGTACTAGGTGTCACACCACGTGGTGCAACATACAAGTGCAGAAAGAGCAGGGAGAGGCACCCTCCAGGATCAGTCCCAGCACTGACAGACTTCACACCCACACACAGACATCCTGATTATGGCAAATGCCCTCGTAAACCCTCCACTCCCCCTCCTTACCATCAGCTCCCCCGTGCAGGCTTCTCCTTGGGTGCTTACCCAAACCCTGGCTCAGACCAGGGTCAGTCCTCCCCTTGCACCTCCCCAACAACCACCATGTCTCCCCTCCAGCTCCTGCATCCCAAAGCAAGCAAGCGCACCCTCCCCAGGAAACCCCTGGGTTCGCTGGGTGGGAGCTCTCGGCGCAGGCTGGGCTCAGCACCTCGGAGGTTGTTGGGGCTTCCCCAGGGGCCTGCAGACTGACCCAGAGCAGGGCTGGTCTGACGCTCCCGAATGAGGATCTGGGGGGAGCTTTTTCTGGTTTTGTTTTACGGAGTCCTAGGGGTGCAGGGAAAACTGACATCTGCGACTTGGACATCTAAAATGATGTTTTCTGTACAAGGCAGCAGGCATGATAAGGTTAAAAAATGTCACGTTTGCAAAGCCTTAACTTGCGCAGGCTCAAAACTGTATTTTATGGGCTACACCTCAGTTATGCCAACTGACGTATGGAAGAATTCAGACAGCCAGAATACAAGGACGTAAAATACAATTTTGAGTAAAAGGGAAAAAGAAAAGGTTTCAATAACACCACTACTGAACTACTCTTCTCCCATTTTCAGGAAGGTGAGGGATGATTGCCGTTTCTGCATCTGCATGCTGCAAGCCTTGGGCACCACAGGGTATGGTGAGGACTGGCCGCTGCTTATTGAGATTTTAAGAGATTTTGATGAGTAAAGCAAGCCTGAAATATCACATTAGAAACAGCACGAAGATTTAAACAACCAAGTTAAATATCAGCATCACGGCAGAATTACCATCTCTGAAAGCGGACATGCGTGCCTGGAACCCACCCTCTAAATTACAAATAAAGCTCTATCAGCAGCACGAGGGGCACCGGGACTGCTCTGCAGCCCCACTGTGCTGGGACTGGACAGGCTCACCTTGTTTGGAGCTGACGTCGGAGGGGATGTGAGATGGGTGCGACCCCGGGGAAAAGTGCTCATCGCTGTAGGTGATAAGAGGGGTGAGGGGGTGAACCGCATGAGAAGGCTGTACCACTGGCACCTTGTTTGACTGCAAGAGAAGAAAAACAATTAAATAGCATTAGCAAGGTGGAAAAGAAAAAAAAAAAAAAAAAAAAAAAAGAGACGCTTCTAAAATGCAGTTTTTATGTATTTATATTACTGAAGGGGGGAAATGGATGGACAGACACAATATTGCTGGTGGATGGCAACCAAGTTTGCTGCCAGAATCAGCACCCTCGAACCACTGGTGCCTGACCAGGGATGTGGGAGATAAGGAAATGCAGGGAAATGGGTGGGGGCTGGGAGCAGAAGGAAAGGCATTTGGGAGACATGGAGACGAGCACGGGAAGCAACAGCCGGAGAGCCACAGGGCAGGAGGAGCAAGATGTCGGGCAGACAGGCACCACGCACCAAGGGCTGCGACCGAAGGACACCAGAGCCAGCAGCATCACTGAAGAAACCCTTCGGTTATGGGATCAGCATATCAACATTAAACAAACAAACAAACAAACAAACAAAAACATAAACCAAAAGGTCTGAAGTGCAGGTTTGCCAGATCTCCAGCCTTAAGAGTAACATGAGCGTCATCGACTTTACTTCTCCTCTCCACCGCTCTCCTGCACAGTCGAGGCACAGCGCAGCAGGGACAAGCCCCTGCCATTGCCAGAGAGTATGGCAGGTTCTTTCACTTGCAATTCTACAAACTCTGGTTGAAATTTCTTGGTCTGTGTAGCACATAACTAAAGAACCACCCTTAAAAGCCTGATTTCATATATAAGCGGTTGGCAGCGGCCTCTCAGAGGGGTCAGCTAGGGAGGAGACCCACTGATTGCCTGGGGACGGCTGGGAGGCCTCTCACTGCAGCATGCCAGTGCTGCAAACACCCGAGGGGGTCCCAAAATGGGTGCCGTAAGGCAACGTCCGTGCAGGCCAAGACGCACTCTTCCCACCAGTGCTTCCTGCAGAGGTGCAGGAGAAGGGGCACTTGGCATGAAGAAGGAATGCCACCCAAAATCATGCTTTTGGATCAAGGCTGCAAGACAACGGGACTTGTCCATCCTGATGGAACGCTGCCATATTAAAGCTGCTTGAAGCACACGCTGCTCTTCCCATGGAGGGACAAGCCATAGTGATGATGCCAGCATGTAACAGGCACTCCTCATCTGTACCCAGCCACTCTACCCTGCCCCTCAGCAAAAATAATTATGGCACAAACAAGTTTTTAATAAACTAATTTAAAAAAAAAAAAAAGGCAAAAAAGCAGCTGTCTTTCAGACAGAAACGCTGATAAAACTCAGCAAGGACAGCCTGTCAAATATACGGAATTATGAACAAAAAGTAATTTAAGAGCCGAATGAAATTAATTTTCTTTGCATTCACTCTTGAAATCCTGCCCTAACATCTGTTTGTCCCAACACTCCAAGTACAAACATAGGATTTTTCTGGACTTCTGGAAGCAGAAGGGTTATTAAATGGACAACTCCATTAAGGCCGGTAGGAGTAGAGGAAAGGGAGCAAATGGGAACCAGTGCAGCATTTTCTGCTTGCCTTGTTTCCAGAGCACCACCTTAAGGAACTTGCATTAGCAGGCACTATCTTCTTAATGTCTGACCTATCCCTCCAGTCATATAGCTCAGAATCTGGTGCCATGAATTTTTACTAAATTATGCTATCCTTGCTCTCCTCTTAATTTTACGGTTTTCAACACAGATTTGCTTTCCTGTGGGAAAGAGATAAGAACCTGAGGATTTTAATTTAAGCTTCGGCCTTGTCTTATATTTTGCAAGATGGAGAGAGAAAGCAGTGCTAGTAGGTGTTTTAAAGCCAACAAGCATTAGGTCCATTTTTGTGACCAAATAATAAAAGCAATATGAATTCTCAATAATATCTATGAGTTGAGTTGTAAAGGGGGTAGCTCAGCCTGCTATTCATCTTCCCCATCTGCATAAATTCAACAAAAAACAGATGCCAACAAATTTCAGATGATTTACAAATGAGGCCTCAGTCTTTAGCTACAAGACTTGCGGGCCAGCCCACCATTCAGCAATTACTTTATCAACAATAAACTGTGTATTATGAATAAAGATCAAGCAATAGATGTATTTAGGTCACACATACGCAGCTGCTAATCAGCCTTAATTTCTCAAAATTTAGTAATTAACATTTTGTATTATACTGGATGTAATTGTCATGCACGCCCCTGGTATCAGGGTTACTTGCTTTCAGAAATCACACGTTTGTACGTTGAGCAAGCCAATCCCCGTACTGCCTCGCTCTCCAGCATCCTGCAGATTTTATTTTATTTTCTAATTCTCGGTACCTTATCCCCTAAGCCCACGGCAGCGGCTTTCAACGGGCAAAGGAACCGTGAGAAGCCAGGAGAAAAGCAAACCGCTTGTCAGCAGGCTTAAAATTAACATATAAACAGGCTGTATCTCCATTAAGAGCATTTAGGGGTCTGCAGAGCCAGAAACTGGAAAAAAAAATAGTAACAATAAATAACAACAATAACAAAAAGCTCTCTGACCTGCCTGCCCCACACCGCTTTGGGAGGAGAGCGGGAGCTCTGACAGCTAAACCCTGCTGGGCACCCAGGCCTGCCACCAGACAGGGGCTCAGTGGGCACAGGCTGAGCCTCCCCGTTCCCTGTGGTCCCACCAAGATGACCACAGCGATGGACAGGGTTAGAACACACAGGATAAGAAAGGCCCAACGGCATATTTTCCAAAAACCATGCAGACTAAATCCCTTCTGCTATGGTACCTGCCCTACAAGTCGATCCAGATGGGTTATCTGGGCCCCCCTCCCAGACAGGGCTGAGGGCAGGAGACCACGATCTTGTACACAGACCTGGATGCCCCTCTCTCTGCCCTCTCAGCCCTTCCTCACCCAGGACAGGGTGAGGGGAGGAGCAGATTGGCCCCACATGTGCTGGCCTGCACCCTTCGCCCTGGAAATATCTGGACTGGGGATGATGCCTAAGCCCCTTCCACCCCCTACTGCTCGCAGTGGGCGTTACTGACCCAAAGGCTTTTCAGGGCTGCACAACATGGCCAAAATCCTACCTCATGCTATGTTGATCAGAATACTCCTGCTGCAGCCCAGTGTCTTTGCCCATAGGCTTCCTCCTCCTTGTCCCACAAACATGCCATCCTACAACATCTGCCTCCCCAAATCCTCCGAAGATGGTGCATCTAACTGCAGAACACTTGAGGCCTGAGTCAATGTGATCTCCATGCAGGGGGAACATGGTCCTCCATGCTTCACCCAGCACCTGCTAACCAAGCCAGGAACGAGCATGGCTCTTCCCGGCACACCAGTACATTTACGTCTAATGTAGGCATGGTTTGCAGAGCACCTTTTCTCCTCCACACAACCTTGAAATCTTCTCCTGCAAAACCCCATCAGTCCACACGCCTTCAACGAGACAATTACATAACTACCCACTGTCCTACATGAGGTTCTTCAACATTTCAGTACAGAAATTATACTTCATCCACCCACTGAAACGTAGTATTTTGGTGCAAGTTGGCACCTAAGCAGCTTCTAGAAACACAATAAAGCAGATGAGGATGCAATCCCCATTTCCAAGACAATTTCAAGAAGCTGGATGTTTGCTGAAATGGTTCTTAACACAGCTCCAATGTGGCGTACATGGTGTCCTACCACACCACGTAGTTTAGTCCTCTTCGTTAAACTCTGGGCCTAAGCTGCTTCATGCAACCTGGAAAGTAGTAAAGGAAATTGAACATACCGCCTAGCTTAAGATCTGCCATTTTGAAAAAATAAATAACTAAAAATGAAGACCTTCTGTTGTGCTTTAAGGCACATTGTCACACGTTTGTCGTACCTTGTTATGAACACTAAAGGTTAACAGCAAAGGGATCACCCATGCCTGTTGGCCTGGGGACGCCCAGCTGTGCCCCACAGAACCCAGCTCAAAGGGACACTTGCTCCTGAGCAACTAAACCTTGGTGGTGTCCTTCTTGGAGGCTGCTGGCCCACCAGGGCTCCAGTCCCACTGCACAGTCTTGCATCACAGCCTATGGCAGCATCCTTTGGGAACTGGCCTTGCACTCAAGGGACCTCTCCCCGGCCCTTCCATGGGCACTTCTGCTGCCTGGATGTTTGCTCATCAGCTTGGCCTTCACAGTCAGTGTCTTATTTCTCCTGAGCATGGGCTCAGGCTGTGGTGAGGCAGTGCAGGCAGGGGACGGTCCCCTGAAGGGACACCAACAGGGCAAACGGGTGAAACTGTGAGAATACACATGTACTGGAAACAGTAGGAGACTAATTATTTGGCCAGTTAGTGCTAGGATGAACCTGCTATTAATTTTTATGATTGATCTGAAAAAACCCAAAATCCCTAATAAAATGTTGGTGGGCAAAGGGTAAGAGCTCGCAGAAAAGAGGACCCTGACCCTGACCCAGCAGTAGAGATTACCCCAGCAGAAGCTTCACCGTGCACCAGACACCAGTTTAAAACTATTGCTGGAACAACCGCTCGAGTTGGTACAAGAGCAAATGTTTCCCTTACAAACAGCAGCCACGGTCTGCAAGTGGTAAGGCTTGAACTGTACTCGGGCATTTTGGGCAGGGCAAGGATGGGGGGAAGAAAGCCCCTGGCCATAGCACTGGCACAGCTGCTGCCATGCGGCTGGGTAACCCCTGCAAGTGCTCTGCACTGGCTATCCCATACCTGGATTTGCAGAGTTACTCGCCATTTTAAACACGCGCCTGCCCTCTCACCTGAACAGTACACTTTGAGACAGTTTAAATTCATCTCCATTGATGGTAAAATGCTGCATCTCAAATTTGGTTTGAATCCGGGAGGTTTTCCCTCATTTTTGAAATGCTTCTGAAGAAAAGCAGGACTACCAGAAAAAAAACCCAAAACCCAAGCTCTCCCCAAACAGCTAGCTAATGCTTCAGCAAAGGCCTGCACCTGTAAGGTATCCTATATGCAACTAGTGTGCAAAAACTATAAAAAGCCTGAGAATGCCACAGCAAAAATGCTTGTAGGTCAGTGCCGGGCGAGGCGGGCGGCCG